AACACGGGGAAGTTGGAGAGACAGAATAGCGAGAAAACATGTACATAATGTAACAACAGAAGACAAGGGCTGGCAACAGATCGTTTTATTACGAAAATCAACACGTATTTATATATATATTTTATATGCATTAATAAGGCTTATGCAAGCAGAAAAAGGCAGTCTTCTGATTGGTTGTTTCTCGGAAGTTAAGCAGACAAACACAGTCTTGTGATTGGTTGTGTTCGATGTTTCTCGGAAAGTAGAGCCATCTATCTGCGAATCATATTTGTCCACATTTAGGTTTGCTGTGATTGGTTGTTGAAACAGCCTTGTTCACGGCCAATATTAGTGACCTAGACATTAACGTAGATTAGTGCCAACCAATCGGCTAGCAGCCTGCTCTCACCACACTCGTCCCCCCTTCAAATAGCTTTGTGCGCAGACGTTCCGACCTTCTGGGTGCTACATCCTCTAGTTGAGGATTGTTACTGACCGGCTTGTCCCACTGTACCCATCTTTGTAGCTGACTGGCGTTAACTCGTTTCTGTTTATCACCTCTTCGGATGGTATATACTTGACCCCGTCTTTTTGTGATTGTGTATGGTCCTTCCCACTTTGGAAGGAGTTTCCGTGAACCTAGCCCGCCTCCAACTGTATATCTCCTGTCTCTACACTTCACTTGGTTTTGTTGACGCGTAGTCCAAACTCTTCGATGCGTCGCAGCACGGCTTCTACATGGTTGACGTGATCGTTTTCGTTCTGACTGTATATGACGAGATCATCACCATAAACCTCCACGTTTTTCAAGTTCTTAAGTAATAGCTTCATCAGTCGCCTGAACGTAAACGGTGCACCTGCTAGTCCAAACGGCATGCGTTTAAATCGATATTGCGTCTGACCCACGATGAAAGCCGTCTTATCTCTGTCACTTTGTTTTATCGGTATCTGCCAGTATCCTGAGCGAAGATCGAGAACCGAAAACACATTCGCACCTTGTAGTCGATCTAAGGTTTCTATCACTGTTGGCATGGCACACGGTCTTAACTCTGTCATACTGTTTAACTGTCGGAAATCAACACAGAATCTATACTTCCCATTCGCTTTTTTTACTAACAGCACTGGAGAGTTGTATGGGCTATCAGCTTCCTCAATAATATCATCTTTTAACATCTCTTGCACTTGTCGCTCCACTTCGCCTTCCAGATGACATGGAACTCTTCGCGTTAAAAATGACCTTACTTTAGGATCACTTAACGGAATTTCATGATTCACCTTATCGCAATAACCGTATGGGTCCCCATCTCCAGTGAACAGATGATCGTATTTATTAATTAACTCTGTCACATTGTGTACCGTCGACAGCTTAATCGCTGCTATCTCGCTGGTCTCATACATGTTGATATGCCCGTATTTCGTGATCACCACGTTCGCTTGCGTGTCGATTATGGCACCAATCTCACGCAGAAAATCCGCTCCTAATATCGTTCGCTGTAGTTCGGGTACAACAATGAAAGGAAACGTCACCTCGCAGCCACCAACAACGACCGTACAGTTCGATCTACCCGTGATACGCAACACATACCCGCCTACTGTTTGTACTGTCAATGAACACGGATTAACACTCTTACATAAATTCTTATCTATTAACGACACGGCCGCTCCTGTATCTATCAAACATACTACTTCTCGATCATTCACTCGCAACTTCGAATACAGAGCGCCTTTCTCAATAGCCCCCACTAAACCTAGGTTCATACGAAAGAAAGAACAAGCATTATACCGTCTGAAATTTTTTCTTTTTCGCCTTTCTGGGCAGTATCTTCTCCAGTGTCCCGGCTTACCGCATTCAAAACACCGGTCTTTTCTATCAGCCAACTTTAACGCCGCCACTTCCCGCTGCAATGCTTCAATTTTTTGCTCATATTCGTTTGGTTTTGGTTGGTCTATAGCGGCTACCGTTGTGCTCAGCAGCTGTCTGGTCACCTTCGCCAGCTCACTAATATCCATCGGCTGCGTTGCGTTAACCAGTTTTAATCGCTGAGAAATGTGGTCGGGGACACTCTCGATGAATTGGGAAGACAGTAACTGCGCTTCTGATTCTTCATCTAAAGTGGGAAGCGCGCGTCGAAGTAGATTAGTCAGTTTCACCGCCAACACTAGCGGGTCTCCATCAGGTCCAAGCTTCATTGACCGGAACTGCTGCATTGCTAGCTGTCTGTCTGTTTCGCTGTCAAACTCGGACACTAGTCGTTCAACCAATTTCTTCCAAGACGCTGTGCCATTTGACCTGTCTACGCTGTCATATGCAGCCTTCGCTCGGCCTCTCAACAGCGTCCCCAGGACAACTGCCTTCGCCGCCTGCTCCTTGACACCCACCAGCTCAGCAACGGCTCGAAGTCACGTAAGAAGCTCCGTATGTCACCTTCTTCAAACGCAGCTGGCCACGGGATCTTCATCTTCTTGGAGGCAGCGACACCAAATGTAACAACAGAAGACAAGGGCTGGCAACAGATCGTTTTATTACGAAAATCAACACGTATTTATATATATTTTATATGCATTAATAAGGCTTATGCAAGCAGAAAAAGGCAGTCTTCTGATTGGTTGTTTCTCGGAAGTTAAGCAGACAAACACAGTCTTATGATTGGTTGTGTTCGATATTTCTCGGAAAGTAGAGCCATCTATCTGCGAATCATATTTGTCCACATTTAGGTTTGCTGTGATTGGTTGTTGAAACAGCCTTGTTCACGGCCAATATTAGTGACCTAGACATTAACGTAGATTAGTGCCAACCAATCGGCTAGCAGCCTGCTCTCAGCACAATAAGACAAATTGTGAAGGTGTGCGAATAATACACTGATATGATTATAAGTGGGCAATAATTTATGCTTGAAACCTTGTCTGTCATACAGTTGTTAATAATACTGCATCATTATTACTGTGTGCGTCGTATTTAAACTAAACTTATCTAATATGGGATTCAGAACTGTTCATCGCATCAGAATTCGTCCTATTTAAGACTCGTCATCTGGATGCACCTACATCTCCCAGTGAGTGATGATGTTCCCACCGAGGACGAGAAATGCGCGTTATCCTGGATTTCACTGCTAATCGCTATTCATCAATGTTGGAAACCATCTTGTCATCCAGTTGTTGATACTGCATCGGTGTTTGGTATTTAAAAATAAACTTATGTAATATGGAATTACATTCTGCCACACGCAGTGCCCAAGTCCTACACATTCATTAATTATTTTCCTCTTCTCCTAACCCATTTACATGCATCTCAGTATTATTCTGTTTATGTCTACTCTGATTGTTTATTATGTAATCAACTTAGACATTCATTCTTATCTTCATTAATCTTGTTTTCAAAATTATGTTCTATGTTACCAATTTATTCAGTTTTTCAAACAATTAGTTCCCTTCATGAATTTAGATAAAACAATAAGAAGACGTAATTTATCCGAATCGTATAATGGTATTTGCACGACATATTTCAAACAATCTGATCACACACACACACAGACTTGTCATAGGAATGTGTATATATGAATGAAATGAATAAAGACTTAAGAGGCGAGAAATAGAAACTGACAAACTAGGTCAAGTTAAAAGGAGGACATATCCAAGGTCAAAATAACAATGAAGATCATCATTAAACCAAAGAAGGCAGGTAATAGTACATCTACCCTGCCTGGTTTCATCAAAACAAAGTTTACCAAGGATGGTGTTTTAGTTAGTGTGATGACAAATTGTTGCTTTCAACGCATAAAGGTGGTGGTTTCAACTTCCTAATTGCCAGCTAGGGCTTCCTTCCACAAACTTTCGGATTAGCCCTACCCCAAACACGTTTTATAGATAGATTTAAAAGACGTCAGTGTGTGTGTGTGTGTAATTGGCGGGAAAGGATTATAAACCAGGTACTCCGAGGAAGAATCGACAAATACTGTGGAGAAAACAAAGATGGATCAGACAAGTATTGAAGAGGCAGTCGAATGACATCGCGCTCCAGACCATAACTGTACTAGAGGAAGTCATGTTGGGAAGTTATGAGAGACTATGGACAATCGTGAAATCAGGTGAAGAGGAGTGTAGGGAATAGAACAAAAATGCAGACGTGGTGATGAAGGCCCATATTCCGCTTGGAACCCAGCTGTTACCTTCTAGTTTCTGACTCTTCAGTAGTACGTACCCAACAGCTTTCGAACCTATGACCTCCTGGTTATGGGTCTTTTTGGACCGGGTGCCAGTGGCTCAATGATCTACGAGCTAGCTCGCCTTGTAAACAGAAGGTCCTGGGTTCGAACCTAGGTGGGTGCGTACTGATGAAGAGCTCCAAACTAGTCTGACGAAACAGCTGAGCAGTACTTCCAGGTTTCCCAGCAGTTTTCTAATTGATGTCAGCTCCATCCAATCAAACTAAATCCCTACAAAACCAATATTTGAAAAAATGTATACATATATGTTTGTGGTGACTTCAGTTACTTCAAATTAGCTTACATTCCCCCTATCTGTATCTAATTAGAAAGATACTGCTGAACACTTCTCATTATTTCGTTGTTTATTTTAAAAATTTTTCTTTTCCTAGTTAACAGATCAGAAAGAGGAGTGTACTTTCCGTGATTTAGGCGAATGGATTCATCTGTCTAAAGGTGACTTGACTAAACCTGATATTGCAGAGCTAAGCTCACCAATGATATCAGTCACGCACGCAAGACTTGGATGTGAAGGGTTGATAGCTGAAAAACTCCGACGTACAGAGAAACTTATTACTAAAATGATTGCCATATGGAAAGCACCAATGGATAGAAAATGTGGTTGTATTACTATAAATGCAGCAGTACAAACACATCATATACACACTGAAATATATTCAGCTATTGGTAAGTAATAGTATTCCAATTTATGAGTGTTAAATATATTTCATTTTAATTTGTATCAGTGTTATTCCATAATAACCCTTCGCATTATGGTCATCATATATTTGCAATGACTAATGTCAAATTGTCATATATATATATGCGTATTTGTCTGTATGAGTGCTTGCTATGTGGAAAACACCTCGAAACATGAAAATATTTCACAGTGGTCATCTGTCTTGCTTCATCAGAATTTGCCGTATAGGTGATAAGTCTATCCCTTCTCTCGCATTTACTGCATTCAAATGCGGTTAATGTATGCAGGGTTGACTTCCTTATAATTTTGACATTATCGAAACAGATCTTTTGTCAGCTGTCTGTAGTATGCATTGCTATAGTTGATCTTTTTTCTAGACTTGTTAATTCTACTTCATCATTTCTAGGTGGAGGTTTCGTATGCAGCCAGCCAGCCAGCCAGCCTATGTTCATATACTCTCAAAGAGGATCTCATTCAACACATAAAGAAAGACTGACCTCTGAAGCTAGCCTTGCATACTTTAACCATATCGAATGCAGTAAATAATAGGAGAGAAGGGATAGACTTTATGCCTACCTATATGGCAGACTCTCTCTCTCTCTAATGAAACAGGACAGATGACGGAGAAATACAAAATTATTCAATCCTATATTATGACCATATTGTGAAATATTTTCATGTTTCGAGGTGTTTTCGATGTAACAAAAAACATACACACACACACTCACAGAGACAAATACACATATATGACAATTTGACATTAGTCATTGCAAATATATGATGACTGTTAATGCATTTTTTTATTGGTACAAATGTCTCCCAACAAGTGACCTTCAAAGGGACTGACTTCAGTCCCTTAGTTAGTTTTTGAACTATATATTTTGATGATTAATAAAATTCAAATAATTCTGCTGTCAAGGAAGAAGAAGCTGTGGCGTACATAAGAAAATGTTCAGAAAGAAAATCTTGTTTCCGATTTTTCTTAAATACGCTGGAATTATTTTAAATAATTTACAATGATACATTCTGACTTGGTGCTCAAATTATTCCAGGAAATTCGTTCAACATCATACAATCATGATGTTTTGAAGCATTGTCCATGTAAAAGACCAAATATCCAAAGATTCTCTATCTAGTTGTGTCTATAAAATAAAATGCTGGGAATGTGATGCGGTATGCATCAGACGAACATTGCTACAGAGAGAAATCAAGGTAATCAGAAGAAATGAACACTGTAGAGCCACCTCTATTCGATCACAGAGAAGTCCAGTTTGTGAAATAGAAAAACTTGAAAAATCATCAGCCTTAGCTCGTCGTTTACACGCATCACTATAGAATCAGGCCACAAAATTGATTTTGACAACATTGAAATCATAATCCAGAAAAAGCATTTCAGAAATCACAAAGAACGTCTCACATCATCAGAAGTACTTCATATCAAATGGAATCCAAATTGTCTGAACTAAATAGGAATTATGGACTAAAATAGAATTTGACCTGGTTACAACAGCACTCTCCTCTCCATGAATGATAAAATCAACACGAATGTGATAAGCAATTTCATTATGTAAACACACACTGCTTTTGTATAATTTTATACGCTTATCGAATCCAACAATGTACACACACACACTTGGTTTCATTATCTCTGCCAACGGGCCAACTTGACAAAGCAAAAATTACCCCATGCTGAGGAATGATGATTAAGTTGTCACATATATAAACTGAGAGGATTTTGTAAATTCTGGTTTAATAATACTTTGATAAAGCAGTTATTAGCATTAAATAGCGAAATGTCAGTAAAAACAACAATATCGTTTCGTTTTTCATTCATTGGGAAATACAAGAAAATCTTTATTATAATGTTAATTAGTAGATGGTGACTAGCAGTGGAATCTTGGATAATGCGCATCTCGTCCTATTCGGGACTCACCATCTGGATGTACCTGCATTCCCCAGTGAGTGACGATTTTTCCTCCAACGGGGCTCGAAACCAATGACCATAGTTTCAAACTTCAAAGTGTTCTCCCCTAAACCACTTGGGCCATGAGAGCCACGTCTCGAACAATTTTAGATTATCTGTTGATTGATTGATTGGACCGAAGTACTCGCTCTCAGACTGACATGTCGACTGCTTCTTGTTCAGATGCTTTGACGATGTCTGGGCATGTAATTAGAAGTTAATGAATTTGTGACTTCCCCTGTCTTTTTTCAACTTCTTTCTAAGTATTTTATATTTTTTCTTTTCATGTAATCACACGTTTTCTAACATTGCGAAGTAATGAATTAATTCACAACATCTCCGTATGGGGAGCTAATTCTTAAGTCATTAATTTCTCATCATCTTAAACGAACTACAGAACTGATTCATTCTGTTAAAAAATTTTTTCTTCAGGTGGATTAACTAAGACACTGTGTCCCAGTTCTAAACGTCCGCCAAGTCCAGTTCTTCCAGCTTATATGATGCCTAGAAATGCTCAGAAAAGTGGTAGTAGTAGTAGTAGTAGCGGCAGTACCTCTACAACAGAACAAACATTGAAACTGTCAAATGATGCATCAATGCATTTAGATAGTATGCAACCTCAAGATTGTTGTGCCTGTGGATCAGCCACTTACAAACTCACTTTCACTGGACTATGGACTAAAAAAACCCATCCAAAAGATTGGCCTGTACACAATCCTGGAGCATTACATTGGACAAATCTTATCGGTGCAAGTCATACACCAAGTTTTCAAATCTATCGTATAGGTGAACCAGCCAGTGCTGGAGTTCAAGCTGTTTGTACCTATGGGGATACAACTGTAATCAAGCAATCACTTGGTATTGCTGCTACTAACACCGGTTCATTGGGTGGTGTCCCATCAGGAACACAAAGAGGATCGACTGGTGTTGGCCCATTGCTTAGTTTTGTTTCTGCCCCAGGAATGTGGGGTGAAGAAACACTCGAAGAGACAAGAACAACCTATGTTGCAGTGAATAGAACACATCCATTGATTTCATTTTTAACAATGCTTGGTCCAAGTCCTAATTGGTGTTCAGGTATTTCTGGTCAGTCAGTATGTCAAGCAGATTGTACATGGGTGAAAAAAATTGAAATTGATTTATTCCCATGGGATGCCGGTGTTCGTAATGGAGATACGTATCTTCCGAAAAATGCTGATAGCAAGGTGAGTGATTATGTAATATGTTCATTTATATAGGGCTTTTAAGCTATTCTAATTATCATTTAATTGGTGGGTGGTGACTAGCAGTGGAATCCAGGATGCGCATCTAGTTCTATTCGGGACTCGTCATCTGGATATACCTAAGACCGAGCACTTCGGTCCAATCGATAGACGGGAAAGTCTAAAATCCAATATATTCTAATTAGCTGTTTAGTAGATTTCAATGTCATATAAAAGAAAAGGTCTCAAGTGAAGAGTTACTCCTCATTTCGGGGATATCATTTTCAAGCTGTACAGTCGCATATATATGTATATGTATGCTTGCTAGTGACTTGCTACAGGACAGAGTTTCTTGGAGTCAATTCTAGTGAGAAGTCGTGACCAGTGAGATCCAACCAGTCAAGTGTAAGGATGGAGTTCCCACTGATGACATTGGGTTGTGGTCACGGTAAATCATGAATTGGCAGGAGTTAGGATTCAAAGGCCATTGAAATAGGTCCCAATCGCTGAGTGGTATATGAACTTGCCTTGTCACCGGAGGGTCGTGGATTAGACCCCCTGTGGTGGGTGAGTACTGATGATGATTCCCAAACAAGGATGAAACAGCTTTCCAGTACTCCATGGTTTGCAATGGTTTTCTAACTGATATCAATCCTCCGTGATCAACTCGTAAAAACACAACTAATCCTTACAAACTAACTCTTGAATATATATAAGTAGAACACAAACAAGTTAATAAATAGAATTAGTGTCAGCGGCATAGCGGTTAGGACGCTCGTCGACCATGCACATGGTCTGGGGCTCAATACCTGGCCGACGCACTCCTTAACCTCGCTGAGACAGAAATAATGCTGGTAAAGAGAAAAGGCTGGGCATGAGGCTAGCAGCCCCATCCTGTAAAATAAACACCACTGCTACAGAAACTTCAAGCCACTAGCTTGAAGGTACCCTATGTTCCACCACAGGGGAACGTGAAGGAAAAAAAATAAATAGAATTAGTTAGAATTGTAAAAATAGCAGTCAAATATAATTACAATGGGAAGGGGAAAAACTGCCCTGTTTCGCCTCTTCCATGTGTATTTCCACCAGTTTAACTACCCCTTGTGGGGCTAGTTATATTGCACGTTCATTCAGGTAATTTCATCGTCGAATCTCTGAACACCTTCCATCTTAGTTTGGCTAAAGGTTCGAATAAACCTGCTATGTGCAGCTCAAAACTAGCTCATCTCGTCGATGCTGACTGGAAATCAAATCGACTCTGACAAAGCTTTTAAAGTTATTTATCAATCATACCTCAGCCAACCTCTCGCCATATGGTTTACAAGTACGACTTTTATGTATACAGCAGAGGCGACTGGAATGCATCTGAACACAAGCCAAATCTGTGTGTATCAGTTCAAAATAAATTTGAACAGTACCTTTCTTTGAATTGAATTCTTGATTTTCCCGTCGATTGATTGGACCGAAGTGCTCGGTCTCAGGTTGACATGTCGGCTTCTTGTGCAGATGCTTCGACGATTTCCGGGCATTTAGTTAGTATACAATTGGTGGATGGTGGCTAGCAGTGGAATCCAGGATGCGCATTTCGTCCTATTTGGGACTCGTCAGCTGGATGTACCTGCATTTCTCAGTGAGTGATGATGTTCCCACCGAGGCTCGAACCCGGGCCACGAGAGCCAAGTGGTCTAGTGGATAACGCTTTGGCGTTTGAAACTACGGGTACTGGGTTCGAGCCTCGGTGGGAATATCATCACTCACTGAGAAATGCAGGTACATCCAGCTGACGAGTCCCAAATAGGACGAAATGCGCATCCTGGATTCCACTGCTAGCCACCATCCACCAATTGTATAGTACCTTTCTTTGCCATAGCCAACTATATAATATGTATTAAGTTTTAAAAACAATTTCCCGCCTCCCCCTTGTAACTATCTTTTCAATTAGTAATTTTCTGCAATTCTAGCTAATTCTATTAACTTGCATGTATTTTACGTAATTCTTCTGAGTCATCATTGCTATTTTACAAATTTCTTGATTACGTAACAACCTGTTTCTCACATCTAAGAATTACCTTGTCTTGAATTCCGTATTTAATCAATTTTCACCCATCCTCACTTCAAAACTTGGATATTTGTCAAAACGTAGATACATTTTGACACCAACTCAGATCTATAAAATACACAGATGAATGGAAAGTGCATAACTCATCGTCATCTCTCAGAGATTTATTCATCACAGAGTAAATAACATTAGTGATTTTGTATATCCTATTATTATAAGGATCCATTCCTATTTGCACTAAGAAATTTTGGGGAATACAGGCAAAGAATATAGTTGACCATCTCTATTGATCCTCCTATGGAAAACTGGGAGTTATTTTTGTCCCACGTAAGAGAAAAGCATTCGGTGTAATATTTTAATGCCTTTCTATAAACGAAAAAAATACCCTCTTCCATGTGATTGGTGCGCTCAAGGTCATTTGCTGATTGGTAGTTACTTATGCTTAAAGATATCACACATATTAATGACACAACGAAACATACTATCTAATCTCACCAAACAAGAATATGAAGTCTTAAGAAATTTGAAGAAAGACAAAAGCATCTTTATGATGAAAGCAGACATGGGGAAACGTCATTGTGATAATGAACAGAATGGATTATGAAAAGAAGGCGATTGAACACCTATCTGAAGGGCCATACTTACTTATTGAAAAGAAGAAGAAATCCGCCGAATTTAACAAAATGAAACTAAATACAAACAGACTCCTTCAAGAAATGAAACCCGAAATTGGGAATTCTTTCTGGTTTAAGCTAAAACCAAAATCTTATGTACCTTCAAGATTCGACGGTCAACCAAAGATACATAAACCCACAGTTCTATTAAGACCAGTAATAGATTTCACCAACTCACCGACATACAACCTATCTAAATACTTACTCTCGGTACTACAACCACTACAAAAGGACACTCAGCATATTGCAAGAAATTCTTATGATTTCGAATCCCAAATAGAACACCGAGAAATTGATAAAGAAATTATGGTAAGCTATGATATTAGGTCATTATAAACTAGTATCCCTATTACCGAAAGTCTTGATATCATTTCCAGTCTACTAGAATCAGATACAACACTGTCACAAAGATGTCCACTGGACACCAGTGAAATAATTAAGAGCTTAAAATTCTGTATAGAAAGTTATTATTTTACATTTAAAGGGAGTTTATATAGACAGACAAATGGTGTTGCTATGGGTTCACCAATCTCACCAATAGTCGCCGACCTTTTCATGAATAAATTCGAAAATAACATCTTTTCAAGCACACTCACTCCTAAAATATGGTTAAGATATGTAGACGATACTTTTGTAATGCTAAAACGAAATATACACAATTCATTCCTCGAGAAAATAAACTGTATAACTCCCAGAATCAAGTTTACTTCGGAAGCAGAATCAAACGTCGGTGAACTACCATTTCTAGACTGCCTAGTTTAGAAAAAGGAAGACGGACATTCCAGTAAATCCATATTTAGGAAGAAAACCCACTTCAATAAATATTTAGACTTCAAATCATCACACCCCATCAGCGCAAAGATTTCAGTTGTTTCAAGTCTTCTTAGACGAGCACAGTCTCTCATAATGGATGCGACATTAAGTATGGCCGAAAATGCATTCCGAAAACATGGACATCAACAGTCGTCATTCCATATAGAGCAGAGACGTCAGACGATATCAGAAGAGTACTCAATCAGCTCGACATTAGTTTTCTTCAAAACATCAGACACACTACGAAATGACCTTGTCCATATAAAAGACCGAATATCCAAAGATCCTGTATCTAATTGTGTCTATAAAATAAAATGCTTGGAATGTGATGCGATATACATCGGACAAACATCTCGAGAAATCAAAATCAGAAGAAATGAACACCGTAGAGCATCTCTTCGACCACCGAGAAAAACTTGAAAAATCATCAGCCATAGGTCTGCATGCTATAGAATCAGGCCACAAAATTGATCTTGACAATATTGAAATAATCCAGAAAAACTTCAAAAATTACAAAGAACGTCTCACATTATTAGAAGTAGTTCATATATAATGGAGTCCAAATTGTCTGAACTAAATAGGAATGATGGACTAAAACAGAATCTGATCTGGCTACAACACCTCCCTGCCCCATGAAGTGACAAAATCAACACAAATGTGATATGTAAGTTCACTATGTAAACACACACTACTTTTATAATTTTACACACTGATCAAATCCAACAATCTACACTTGCGTTATCTTTACCAGTTGACCAACTTGACAACGAATAATCACCCCAGACTGACGAACGACGATCAAGTTAGTAAACTTTATTTTGATATCATAACAGATGCACTATTACCTTTCATATTTGGTTTGAGTGATCTTCATTGTTATTTTGACTTTCAATATATCCTTTTAAGTTGACCTAAGTCTATTTTTCTCACCCCTTAACTTGGTTTGGACATATATGACAAACTCTTAGTTATTAGTGCTTGAACATACGCATATTTCTCATGTATATTTTTTTTCCAGGATGTTCCAGAGCCTATACGTTTTATCACTAAAGATTGGATGCCAAATAGTCCATTCAGTGAAGGTATCCCCGTTGCACGTGTAGTACTTGAACGTGTCTTACCAACTGAATCATGGCAGTGTACATCAAAGTTACACGATGGTGTTGAAGTTTTTAATTCAGATGGGAGTACAGAGACTGTAGGCATGAAATCTAACACATCAGATAATAAGCAACATTCACCTATGGTTCAATCGGTTATCGGAGATCTAACTGGAACATTACCAAAAAAGTCTAGAAATAAAGGTGGAACTAGTGGAGGTGCAGGGGGTGGTGCTGGTGGTGGACAAGGTGGAACAAGAATAACCAGTGGAGGTCTCGGTGGAGATAACCCCCTGTCAGATCCAAGTTTAGCACAAATGGCAACATTTTTATGTATTACTGATACATGGTCAGCATGGGGACCTTGTTCGGTGACTTGTGGTGTTGGTCGGCGAACTAGACAACGTGCTATGTTAATCAATAAAAAGACAGAGCTTTGTCAACATGTTCCATTGATAGAAGAGGAAGTAAGTTTTGTAACAAGTTTAATTTTCTAATTTTGTATTTGATATGTAAGCTGCCTAGTAAAGGATGCTTTGACGATGTTTGATGTTATTTGGTGAATGGTGACTGGCAGCGGGATCGAGGGTGAGCATTTTATTCTGTCTGGGACTCGTCAGCCGGATGTACCCGTGTTTCCAGTGACTGATAGTGTTCCTACTGGGATTCGAACCCAGAACCCATCGTTTCAAACGCCAAAGCTTTATTCATGAGAATAATTGGGCCATTTGAAACGAAATGCTCATCTCATTGCTAGTTCGCATCCACCGAATCTTCAGTCCTAATCATAAGATTCTGTATTCAACGAAATACATCGTTTGAATAACTGAGAACTTAAATCAACTCTACGTGTCTAAATGCTGATGCTCATGAAATGTTCCTGTCTGTGATCACTGCTCAAGTGTCTTTTAGACAAATTGACTACATGGTTTAAACGACAACATTTTCATCTCAAATATTTATGATAAAGAGAAGACGTTCAGCGAGGAGAATCTTTTCGACGGCGAATTCATTCACATAGCTGTACAATCGCATTTATACACAATTATTTGTGTGTGTGTGTGTGAGGTTTGTCATGTTTAGATAATTAATTAGGTAATAAAAGAATGATCTAATATAGAAACAAGGTTAATTAGACAACAACTAAAGCAAGATTGAGTTAGTTAGTAGGTTAGATGACGTAATATAATTGACTAAAATTTTTCAACTTAGGTCAGGATAGCAACAGAGGTAGTTACAGGTACAGACTAATTAGAGGTGGGGTAGAGAATAATGCCATTTAAATTAGGACTGAAATTGAGCAAATAAGTTGGATGACGTAACATAAATTACTAGAGATTGAGCGTTCGTCAAGTCAGTAACAATGGTAATGAAGTGTAGAATTAAATCGGGTGGGGGTAGAGAGCAGGTACGTTGAAAATGTTAAATATTACAATTGAGTTTGTGTGTATGTGTGTGCGACGTTAAACATAAATCACCCACACGCGAAATTCAGGCCTTCTAGAGTCTCCTTATCGAACCAACGTATTCCTGTCTTCTCACTGACTCCATGTGCACAGTCTGACGCATAATCCAGTCCACCACAATTAAGAATATCACCGGTGACAGTAGGCAGCCTGCCCTATCTTACTCCTGTATTCACTTCAAAGTCAGGCTTCGATGAGATTCCCATTGTGGATCACCTAACACATGGCAGGCATTATCATATAGCTGTACAGCCCTTAATACCACAGTAATAATAATTTGTTAAATCATAACAATTTCATTGGTATTGGTATATATGCTCAAGAAAGCCTTTTTATTCTTCCCACCTAAACAGTCATGTGATGGTCGAAAGCGTACCTGTGATTTTAGTGCCCCGTGCAGTTTATTACCCTGGACCGCCTGGACACCATGCAATGCAACCTGTGATCATCCAAACGGTCGACAAACACGTACACGGTATCTAGCTCGACCAGCGGAAAAACACGATTGCAGCCATTTATTCAGAAGTGAAACCGAGTTGAACAAAGGTATGCTACAAGAGATAAGAGAATGTCAACCAAAAGATACTGACTGTGATCCAGCGACAATTTGTGCAGAAGGCAGAAAAGATGGTTTGGTGTGCGGTGAAAAAGTTTTGGCTTATTATTACAGTGCTGTTGAACACGCTTGCCTACCGTTTAAATATTTAGGCTGTAAAGGTGGACGAAATCGATTTGCAACTAAAGCAGCTTGTGAAAGCCTTTGTATACCAGCTGTTGAAGCATTACCCAAGTGGCGACGGGAACGTATGGCTTTACTACAGTATCAAACAGCACAACTTGCTATGGATAGTGATGATTTTAAAAAACAACAGCAGCAACTTGCTCCAGCTAATCATTGTTCTGAAGTCATGAATCCTGGTTACACATGTACGAATGGAAAACTACCAGAAAATAGATGGTAAATTACTTTTTATTCTCATGTAGAATTCAGCCTACTCTAATGCCTTTTTCAGTAGTCACTATATTTATTTCGGAATTTATTATTCTCTTATAAATGCTATTACCAATAAACTGCTAAGTTGTAATAGAAATATCATTGGAAACCAGCACAGGAGTACTGGACAGCCAGTTGCTTCGTCAACCTAGTCTGGACAAGAATAAAACAGCTGTTCAGTAATCTAATGTTGGTTTTCCAGTGGTCCTCTAACTGATTTTAGTTCATGATGAACTCCTTTAACTAACTGGAGTTCATCGACAACTCATATCTGCCAAACATGCAATTGGATAGTTTATTAATATGCCATACCCCTTCAGACGAATAAATAACAGAACTTTTGGCAAGTAATTTGCACGAATGGATTGGTGAATATCCGCTGAAGTTTCTTAGGATATCTTTCTCAGTTAAACTTCTTTATGAATTAAAAACATCCATTAGCTCCCATTATGAATTTAGACAATGCAATAAGATGCAATTTGTCTGAATCGTGTGATGGCAACACATTTCAAACAATCTGAACATACATATACATTTCATAGGAATATATATGTATATATGTGAAATTAATGGAGTTAAAAGGTGAGAAATAGAAATAGATTTAGGTCAAGTTAAAAGGACACATTGTAGGTGAAAATAACAATGAAGATCATCACGAAACCAAATAAGAGAGGCAATAGTACATCTACCATGGCTGGTATCATCAAAACAAAGTTTACCAAGGAAGGTGGTCTAGTTAGTGTGATGGCGAACCGTTGCTTTGAACAAATAAACGTGGTTACAACTTACTAATTGCCAACTACGGCTTCCACAAACTTTAAGATACGCCCTCTCTAAAATCCGTTCCACAGATAGGTTTAAAAGACTTGTGGAAACATCAATTTTATGTCCTATCTCCTCAACAATATGTTTCACAATGAAGGAGCTAGGTCGTCGTCTGTTCTCATCACTAATGAGTTGTAGGCATTCCCATTGCTTCTGAAGCCATCTAAGAATATGCTATGGAACCAGCCTTTACTTGTAGAAATCTATGACTTCTCCCTTCTATGTATGTGTGGCCACATGAACATTCAGATTGGTAAATACAGTGGGATGTGACATCCCTTTTCACAGTTTCTAAGTGCCTAGATGGTTATATCGGCTTCAGAATGAAGTCCAGAATAGCATATCACTTACGTCTGTAGAAAAGGAAGATAACTTTTTATCCATCCTAGATATATTGCCTAGTCGATGACCTGATGTATCAATAAAACGATCTATTTATGGAAAACCTACCTAGGAACTGAGGAACACAGACTCTTGAACAGTGTTTGTTAGACAGATCTAAACTCCGTTCGGTATTTTGCAAGATTTTTTGCTTATAATTTATAGTATCATGTATGAATATTTTGTATTTTAAAAAGAATGCTCAACTTTGACGAATATGATTCTCAATATCAGCATTTTTGTGCCGTTTAACTTGTGTTCATATGATAGAAGTATTTATTGTTCATTTTCCGTTTCATATGAACTGTTTTCGAAGATAACTTGTTTACTAGAACTTTGGCTGATAATGTTGATAAGATGGTAGGGGATCAGGTGTCGATGGAAAAGGTTACATTGTCCGGGAAACCACTAATCTAGCAGCATATTATGTACTATTTCCATTCGCAGATAACCTACTATACGGATCAGAGACTTGGCGAGTCATAAAGAGCATCTCAAACAAACTTCAAACCTTCATTAACAGTTGTCTCCGCTCAATACTCAAGATCAGATGGCCAGAAAAGATAAGAAACAGGGATCTCTGGGAGCGAACCAATCAGGAACCGATTGTGAAACAAATAGGCAGGAAGAAATGGAGGCAGATTGGAGGCCATACTCTCAGGAAACAAACCATCAAGTGACATCACTAGACAAGCCATTGCTCGAGTGGAACCCGAAAGGGAGGCGGCGAGTTGGTCGTCAGTGCAAGGGTGACTTGGAGGAGGTCATGCGAGGAGGAGATGAAAGCATGTGGACAAACCTGGAGCAGGGTGAAAAAGTTGTCAGAAAACCGAAGGCAATGGAGGTGCGCAGCTGAAGCCTTATGTTCCTCTAGGAACTAAAGGATAAAATAATAATAATAATTTTGTCCTTAAGAGCTGGAACAATGAATAAGGTGTTTAGAATGATACTGACAAGTTTACCGACGAAAGTTCCAAATCATGAGGCAAATAACTTTATTCAAAAGTTTAAACTAGGAGGCGCAGTTATCTTTCGATAATAATAAGGAAAAGTATTGAATTAGTTGTGTTAACTTTCTGAGCTGGTTGATGGTTTAACTGAATAGCTGTCATCCTCCTTTTTCTAGACAACATCCTTTCAGGTCGGGTTTTAGTATACAAATGAACTCATTTAAATTCTGCATGAATGATGATGTAATTGTGTCTCTTAGCAGCTACTGTTGTGATTCATTGTTTGTTGATTTACGTCTCTGTTGATCATTTTGATTATTATTATTATTATATCCTTTGATTCCTAGAGGAACATAGGGCTTCAGCTGCACGTCTCCATTGCGTTCGGCTTTCTGCCAACGTTTTCACCCCACTCCAAGTCTGCCCACACGCTTTCATCTCCTCTTCACATGACCTCCTGCAAGTTACCCTCGCACTGGTGACCAACTCACTGCTTCCGTTTCGGGTTTCACTCGAGCAATGGCTTGTCTAGTGATGTCACTTGATGGTTACCTCAGAGTATGGCCAGTCCATCTCCATTTCTTCCTGCTTATTTGTTTCACAATCGGCTCCTGGTTGGTTCGCTAATTGCCAGAGATCCCTGTTGCTAATCTTTTCCTCCCGGCCATCTGATCTTGAGTAGTATTGAGCGAAGACAACTGTTATTGAAGGTCTGTAGTTTGTTGGAGATGCTCTTTATGACGCGCTAGCCAAGTGTCTGATCCGTTTAGTAAGTAGCACTGACTTCACATTGGAGTCGAAAATCCGGATCTTATTTTTGATGCTGAGTGCTGTTGACCTTCACACCGACTTAAGAGTAATGAAAGCTTGTCTTGCTCTTCCTATTCTGGCTTTGATATCTTCATCAGTTCCGTCCCCCTGTAGTTCAAACGATGCTTCCCGGGTAGGTGGATAGGTAAAGGAGGTTTTTTCTTTCAGGTTCCTCCAGTTCATACTGGCTGATTGTTGTCTGTTGTTGTTGCTGCTGCTGTTGGCCAGGAATCTTCATCACCTACCTCTGTTTTCTCTATGTTCACCTAAAGTCCTTCCTATCTTTGATGCTTCTTCTGCCAGCTTGTTGCTTTTTATTTGCATATCATCTTCCAGTTTGTGGGAAATCAGACATATATCATCGGCGAAGTCCAGATCCTCCAAGTTCTTTTTTGTGTGAGTCCGTTTTATGCCTGTTTCCTCATTGCCGGCTGTCTGTCACATTATCCAATCTACTGCAATCAGGAAAATCATTGGCGATAGTAGACAGCCTTCCCTCATTCCCGTCCTCACTTCGAAGGCTTCCGTAAGTTTCCCGTTGTGAATTACTTGGCATGCATTGACTTGGAATTCGAACTTCCTTGTAATGTGATGATTTAATTTTTATTATTTTGTAAGTTCGGTCTATAGTAATTCGTGTGTTTGTTAATTGCTGGTTGATTCACTTGATTACCAAGCCGGCTTCTAGAAATTCCCTCGCATTACGCTAGATGTTTCCGACGCTGAGAATTTCTACAATATCCGTTTAAAATATTCGTTTCCATGATTATCTACACGCATTCACATGGAAGAATAAATATCATACCTTTTTACAACCAATCTATGTTATTGGATTCACATTCTACGGAGATGGCTACTTTCACCGATATAATGTTTGTTTCAGTTCATACGATTGATTTTGTCTTCTTTCTGTGTATCGCAGATGTGAACATTCTTCTCAGGATTTCATCATAAACTGGCATCGGTTAGAAAAAACCCCTGGAAAATCTTGGGTGTGAGAACAAATACTCGCCAACGATGATATTCGCTAGTACCAGTCGCGCTGTATATCATGAACTGGCAGAAGCTGAAATTCATGAATTAGTCATTAGATTGGCGAGTCCCACTGGCCTTTTAACCAGAGGGTCTCGACTTCGAACGCTGACAGTGTGTTGGGTGCATACTGATGAAGAGTCTTGAACTAGGCTGATGAAACATCTGGCTGTCCAGTACTCGAATGGTAGCCTTGCAATCGTCCTCTAACCAAGGTTAGCTCATGAAGAAATCCAGAGACCAGTCAAATCCCTCGAAACTAACACCAGAATATTCTTTATGTATTAAACTCAGTCTTTTACAGTCGAATTGACCTTTAATGAATCATTATTCCATATTCATTCTTGTTTATAGGTATTTTTCTACACGCCTTAGAAGATGTCGTGATTTTGAATATCACGGTTGTGGTGGGAACAAAAACAATTTTGAAACTTATCAAGCCTGTTTATCTGATTGTCTGCCATTAGAAATGGAAAAATTACGTCAAATCAATAAAGCACGTTTAGCTAGCGCACGAAGATTTACAAATAATACAAACATCAAGGCAAATGATGATGATGATGATGATGATGATGATGGTGTCTCTTCCAGTGCATCTGCCTCCATGTCTAAAGATGACACTGACGACAGCGATGATAGTCTGAGTAAAATGGAACGTCAAAAAATAGATGATATGTGGGGTCCAAAACAAGATTGTATAATGACTGCATGGAGTGGTTGGAGTCCATGCTCTGTGGCATGTTCATATGAAACAGGTTCACAAATGCGATGGAGACATGTTGAAAAACCTGCAATGCATGGTGGCAAGTCGTGTGGAATGCTTTTTGAAAAACGTGAATGCCATGGAACGCTATGTTGAGAAATAAACGAATATTGTAAATTTATTCTCTATCATCTTAAGACAAATAATAAATACTACTCACTTACTGAATAATCAGAAAATCCCCTGATCAGTACTCATCAGGAGATGAGTATTTAATTGCTTTATTGATTCAAATATTTAATTGTTATCATCTATATTTTCTTTTGCTAACGCTTTTATCCTCTATTGTACTGTCTTATAAGCGGATGCTTTTATAAAAATTTTAAGCGATTTGTGTACTATTCATGCATAATTAAATTAATTAGTAAGTATTTGTATGTTTTTTATATTTCAAATATTGGGGTACTTTGAATACGTGATTTAGCGCGACCCCAACCATTGTCGTTGGTGGGACATCCATCCACACACGTGACATCCAATTGGACCTCACTAGTCACGACTTCTCACTAGAACTCAGGAAACTCCAACCTGTAGCAAGTCACTAGCGAGCATCAGATTAACTTTCTATAGTTTTTGGTTTGTAAGGATTAGTTATGTCCCAGTGGCTGAATGGTATACGAGCTTGCCTTGTAACCGGAAGGTCCTGGGTTCGAAACCCAGTGGGTGCGTACTGCCGATGATTCCCAAACTAGGATGAAACAGCAGCTGTCCAGTACTCCCTGGTTTACAATGGTTCTCTAACTGATATCAATCCGTGATCAACTCGTAAAACATAACTAATCCTTACAAACCAAAAACTATAGAAAGTACTTTGAATAGTCTTCAGCTTTTAAGTTTTATTTAAGACGGTAGAAGCAAAAAAGAATAACTAAAGGCTTCCAATAAGAAGACTCCACAAGATCTGGATTTCGCCGTGGATGACTTATGTCTGATTTCATACACAAAAACTCGAAGACTTACAGGTAGGCAGGCAGGCAGGCAGACAGAGAAGACAAGAGTGACTCCAGGTGAATATAGAGAAGGCGGAGACGAAGGTGATGTAGATAATCAACTAACCAGCCAATTAATAGCAACAGCAACAACAAGCAGCACCAATCACCATCAACGGGAGGGAGAGATTTGACAGAGGTTATTTCCTGCATTAACTTATCTAGTCAGCTAGGAGGCCAGCACGATTTTACAACCACAGGCGGTCGAAACGGACGAAGATGTTAAAGCTGACCAGTCAGCCAGCCAACCAGTCAGAATCAGGAATGCAAGATACCCCTTCATCAAGCTGAAAGGGGTTAGGAAATCACCTGCTTCACCCACTCACTCACTCACTGACTCAGCCAACAAACCAGCTAGCCAGCCATCATGAAGGCCAATATTCGGATTCTATTCAACACAGGTGTGAAGTCGGTAAGTCAGTCAGTCAGTCAGTCAGTCAGTTAGTTGATTCTTCTATACGGTTGAGAAACTTGCACTGTGCGTGAGTCAGCCAATGTAAAGGACTTCCATCAGGCTAGTGAAAACTTCTATCAACAGTTACCTTTCGATGGTTGCATATTTTTAAGATTGAATGGTTGGTTGACCGGCTGGCAAGAGAGAATTCTCAAGAAGAAACTCTGGCGATGAACAAATCAACCAGCAAAGAAGAACCGATTGCTCAGAAAACATAAAGGATATGGAGATGGATTGGTGGGCATCCACCACTGAGGGAGCTGTGGAATGACATCACGCACAATGCATGTCATTACTCGAGTGGAAGGATAATGGGAAGCGACAAGTGGGTGGTCAGTGCGGGGGGGGCGATTAACATGGAGGAGATTGTGTGTTGAGGAAGAGGAAGAGGAGGAGGAGATGAGAGATTATGGGTGATAATCGTGGACGTGGCCAGGTGAAAAGGACAGCTACAGCTTCAGATTGCCTGAAACCAATCAAATCCCTACAAACCAACACTTGAATACCAATGAGATGCTCACTGGCGACTGGCCCTATTCAGGTAGGTAGTTACCTGGGTTCCAGTGGGAAGTCGTGACCAGTAGGGTGCAGCCGATGGGGTGTGAGGACAAATACTCGCCGAAGACATTGGCTAGCAGTCGCGCTATGTCGTGAATTGGCAGAAGTTAGAATTCAAGGACCATTGGATCGGGTCCCAGTGGCTTAATGGTATACGAGCTCTCTTGCCTTGTAACCGGAAGGTCCTTGGTTCGAACCCCATGGTGTGGGTTCGTACTGCTGAAGAGTCCCAAACTAGGACGAAACAGTTGGCTGTCCAGTACTCCCAGGTTTTCCAATGGTTCTCTAGCTAATGTCAGCTCATGATGAAATCCTGAAACTATGGTTACTTTTGAAACTCAGTTTAATTGCATATAGAGTAATTTTACCATCAGAGCTACCCAAGAGTCTGTGTTCCTTGGTTCCTAAGTAGGTTTTCTATAAGTGGATCGTTTTATTGATCCATCAGGCCGTCGACTAAGCAATATATCTAGGAAAGATAAACAGTTACCTTCTTCTTCTACAGACGTAAGTGATATGCTATTCTGAACTTTATTGTGAAGTCGATATAACCAACTCAGGCCTTAGAAAGTGCGAAAGATGACGTCACTTCCCACTGTTGTATTTACCAATTTGAATGTACATGTGGCCACATACACAGGGAGGAATCATGGATCTCTGCAAGTAAGGGCTGGTTTCATAGCATATTCCTAAATGGCTTTAGAAGCAGAAAATACAATCCTCAGGACACACTAATGGTGAGCAGAGACGATAACTTAGCTCCTCTATTGTGAAACATATTTTAGAGGACACAGGGCATAAAACTGATGCTTACACACATCTTCTAAACCTATATATAGAAAATGTTTGGAGTAGGGCGTATCTTTAGGTTTTTAGAAGCCATAGTTGGCAATTAGGAAGTTTAAACCACCACCTGCAGGGCTTTAATACCACGTCTACATTTTGTTCTATTCCTTACAGTCTTCTTCACCTGGTTGCACGATTTTCCATAGTCTCTCATAACTTCCCAACATGACTTCCTCTATTAAAGTTATGGTGTGGAGCTCGATGTCATTCGAAAGCCTCTTCAGTACTTGTCCTATCCATCTCTGTTTCCTATTTGTTATTTGTCGTTTCTTCCTCAGAGTACCTGGTTTCTAATCTTTTCCCGCCAATCACACACAAACATCTCTTTTAAATCTATCTATAAAACGTGTTTGGGGTAGGGCTCATACTAAAGTTTGTGGAAGGAAGCCCTAGCTGGCAATTAGGAAGTTGAAACCACCACCTTTATGTGATAAAAGCAACAATTCGTCATCACACTAACTGAACTTTGCTTGGTAAACTTTGTTTTGATACCAGTCAGGGTATAGGTACTATTATCTCTCTTATTTGGTTTAGTGATGATCTTCATTGTTATTTTGACCTTGGATATGTCCTCCTTTTAACTTGACCTAATTTGTCAGTTTCTATTTCTCGCCTCTTAACTCTTTATTCATTTCATTCATATATACACATTCCTATGACAAGTCCGTGTGTGATCAGATTGTTCGAAATAAGTGTTGCACAAATACACAATACACGATTCAGAAAAATTACGTCTTCTTATTGCTTCATAAAGGGAACTAAATGTTTATTCATTTATTAAGAAGTTTAACTGAGACGCCTCCAACAAATATATACTTTAAGGAACTTCAGTTGATACTCACCAAGCATTTCGTGCGATTTGCTTGCAGAAAAGTCTGTTATTTATCGGTTTGTTGGGGTATGGCATATTGATAGACTATTCAGTAACATGTTTAATTGAATTTAAGATTTTTCCGTTGATTGATTGACCAAAGTGCTCGGTCTCAGGTTGACATGTCTGTCGGCTTCTTGTGTAGATGCTTCGACGATGTCTGCACAAGAAGCCGACATGTCAACCTGATACCGAGCACTTTGATCCAATCAGTCAATCAATCGACGAGAAAATCTAAAATTGAAATAAAATAATTAATATGACCCGATGACTAAAGTGATCTAGTGGATAACTATGGGTACTGGGTTCGAGCCTCGCTGGAGGGAACATCATTACTCACTGGGAAATGCAGGTACATCCACTGGCTGACGATTCCCAAATAGGACGAAATGCGCATTATCCTGGATTCCACTGCTAGTCACCAACTACCAATTATATTCAGTAACATGGTTGACAGATATGAGTTGTTGATGAACTCAAATGAGGCGTGTTCCGCAGACACTAGTTCTTAAGTAGTATAACAATCAATGTCTCGTATAAGAATTTTGATTAGCTCAGTGATGAATTAAATTGCACAAAGAGAAAATGAAGGATTATTGTAAAACAGTAAGGAAGGTGATAAAATAAAGACCAAAAAAAAAGCAGAATCCAAATAAGACTTAGAAATTTAAATTTGAATGTAATGTTTTGCATATTATACTGTCAGTATATAACATTTCGCTTAATAAGCAATCCTATACATAGCTGCCACTGTGCTGTACCTTTGGACCGCTTTCCTGGCAGTAAGGCCTAAATATACACAACTTAAATTAGTTTATTTGCTCAATGATTACACTATGTTTGTTGCCCTCCCGAAGCGGATGTCAAACAAGCTTTCTTATACCATGGAGCAAAGCAAGCAATGGAAATATACAGCACTTTTATGACTTTCAAGTATTGCTTCGTAAGGATTTGATTGATTGGTTAGAGAACCATTGGAAAACGACCACTGGAGTAGCGAACAGCTGTTTTAATCTAATCCGCAACTCTTTAACAGTACTCACCCGCCGGAGTTCGAACCAAGTGCCCTACGGTAAAATATTAAGCCACTGGAACTCAACCCGACCCAATGGTGGCCAGTCAGTGCATGAATTCCAGCTTCTGACAATTCATGATATGAAGCGACTTGCACTAGCCAATGTCATCGGTGGCGAGTATTTGTCCGCACTCCTAACCTCCTGTACTTTAGGGGGCCACGACTTCCCACCAGAACCCAAGGCGACTACCTACCTGAATAAGGTCAGTCGCTAGTAAGCATCTCATTGATATTCAAGTATTAGTTTGTGGTCACCCTATGTCGTAAATTAGCAGAAGGTAGAATTATTGCACTAACCTGCCGTTGGATTGGCCGGTCCCAGGGGTTAATGGTCTACCAGCTACCTCGCCTTGTAACTAGGAGGTTCCTGGTCCAAATCCTGACAGTGGGGTGGCTGGGTACTGCTGAAGAGTCGCAAACGAGGCTGACGAAACAGCAGTCTGCCGAGTACTCCACTGGTAGTTTCCCGATGTTTCTCTAACCGATGTGCCAGCTCATAATGAAATCCTGTAATCAACTTTTATAACGATATATATATATATATTCAAGTAACACTAATTCACCTGACATTAAATCTTACTTCAAACATAAAGACAAGAATCAATTCATGTTTAAACTTACCTGTACAATCAATTACAAAAACCCATTGTGTAATACCAGATTTCATACTTCGAACTGCATTTTCAATAGTATATATCAGATGAGTGACTGCATCATTTGATAAGTTACGATGTGAAATAGCCTGACAAAATGATGCATATATAACTGGACGGCCAACTTCATCGAATCCAATTTGTCTCTACACACATGCACACGCACAGATGGAGAAAAAGAAAGAAGTATGCGCTTTGAATTATAGGAAAAAAAATTAAAAAAGGCGGTTTCATCAGAGAAGAATGCTTGACAAGATCAAATTTATACAATACAAACAGGATCGTTAGTGCCTCAGCCATGCCCAGACGCTTTGACCTCATACCTTTTAAGAGGTCTGGTTGGATCCTGTATATGACTTTGAGGGGCGGATGGATGTCCTGAGTTCAATAAATGTTCTGTTATCAAACTCTATATGTAACGACAGAAGACAAGAGCCAGGTAACAGATCATTTATTGAGAAAATCAAGAGATATTTAGGGATTCTTATGTACATTATTATTCATTATTATTAGTAGAGACACAGGGCCTTGTGATTGGTTGTTTTCACGCTGAAAAATAATCTTTCATCTCTATGTGGCTCTTTTTTGAAGGTCAGACCTTATGTCTGCTAATCGTATCCGCCCACGCAAAGTCTACTGTGATTGGTTGTTCAATCAATCTTTGTTCTTGTTTTTTTCTCATGACCAAGATTTGGGACTGAAACATTGATGTAAATTGGTGTCTACCGATTCCGGCTAGCAGACAGCCCTCATCACATATATATGTGCTGGAATCAAAGTAATTCATGCATCTCACAGTGATGCGACATATTCCTCTCAGCAACGCCAAACGCGATGCTCTCCAGTCAGTAGTTCAATGGTCTGCAGAAGCCTTAAGGACAAGATCTCACATCTAACTACTTCTGTGCACATATACCAGTTTACCTGTTGCTGTAGAGTCAAGTACATTGCTCGTCCGATGTGTATCCTATCTAGAAACTGTGAAGGGCACTATCTCATATGGTTTTAAAACGACACTAGTGGTCTACAGGCTACCTTGCCTGGGTTCTACTTCCAGTGGGTGCATACTGATGAAGAGCCCCGAAAACTAGGACAAAACATCTGTCCGGTACTCCCAGATGGTTTTCCAATGGTTCTCTAACTGATGTCAGCTCATGATGAGATCCTCCAACCCATCAAAAAAAAATCCATACAAAACTAATACTTGAAAACCCCAAACTTTCTGTGGCCTAAGCCTAACGTGAAAATATCCCGAAACTAACCCTAATCTAAATCGAACCAACTCTGATGTTGCCCTTATTCGGTTAACGTAAATCTAATCTGTCCTTAGCCTAAAACCCTAACTTAATGTTTCTTAAACCTAACCTGCAAATTGCCAGATATCCCATTTATTAATAACATAACACTTCATCATTAAGCATATTTTATACATGATTACAGTATTGACTTTACCAGGTTTCACAAACTTGCTTACTGAGCTTTTCAAGGTCATTGCTACAGTCGCACTCCATTGATACTTGCTGGTGCTAAAAGTTTAACTTGGCCGATAAAATACTCTAGCCGGTGATTGGGTGGTAGAATGCTCCCCAGACACTCACACAGTCGATCGCTGGTCGACGCTCGAATTCTCCAAAACCATTTTGGCCAGTATTAAGCCGAGAGAAGATGGAAGCTTATACAAGAGAATAACAATCACCTCAAGTGGAAAAAACACCACCGTTACCGAAAATTCAAGGTTTGATGCCCCCTCAGAAGGCGAAAGGAATGATGGAATATACAATATAAAAGATATATTCAGTTAAGCTGCGGTGGCACAGAGGTAGAGTGGTCGCCAACCACGCCACATGTGGTTCGGAGTTCGATCCCCGGCCAACCGACGCGCTCCTTTACCTCGCTAAGTCAGTAATAAGACTAGTGAAGAGGGAAGGTTAAGCATGAGGCGGCTAGCAACTTCATCGCGTAAAAATTAATACCAATGCCACCAAATCTTCTAGCCTCTAGCCTGAAGCCTTATATTCCAGACTTTTAATTGTAAAAAAAAGCAAAATGACTTCTATTAATAAATTCGACTTACTAAACTATGCGTTCCTGGTTGATTGTGACAATTTTTACAATCAGTTAAATCTGGTCGAAATTCTTGACGCCATTGTAAATCTTTACGCATCATTTTTTCAGCAGATTGTAAATCCCAACCACGTGCTTTGAGAAAACGTACAACACTGTGAAGAAGAGAAAAACAGACAAATAGACAAAGAAATAAAGAAAGAATGAAATAACTCTATTGATTTTTAGAAATATTTTTATCAGTTTTTAAACTATGCCGAAGAGATTTTCGACAATAATTTTCCTGAGGTGAGCTAGTGTTCAATATTCAACATATGTGTAGAACTTGAACACTGTAGTAATATGTAATTCCATAATAATTTGTTTATTAGATGGATATATTACACGCAGACAGTGAAACAGTATTATTAATTACTGGATGACGACGTTTCTCCGAACACAAGTTATTTATTGTAGTCATAATCGTATCTTCAACTATAACCACAGAACTTCAATATTTGAGTTTTATCCTTTATAACTATGAATGAACTACGACGAATTAATTTCTGATCAAGAAATTGAACTCAGAAAATGTACCACTAGAAGACATAATCCTGGGAGTGTAATAGCTTCCCCTGACTTCCACAGCACTTAAATTCCATCAGAAAATATACAAATAAACTAAGACAGTTGCCATGATAATGATCTCGGATAGTAGCAGATGTATTCATGGATAGGTGAGAAAAAATTAGCAAAGAAGATGTTTAGTTACACCCCACCCCCATAGTATGGCGGAGGTATGTAGACAACACATTCACCAGACTTAGAACACAGAACATAGATAGATTTTTCGAATATATCAACTACAAGGTGGAGGTAATTCAATTCACTTATGAATTGGAAAGTCAAGAAGGGGAGCTTCCAATGTTAGATTGTAGGCGTAAAAAGGAAAGAAGATGGGTAATTAGAACACAATAGTGTTAACAAGGAATCCCACACATTCAAACAGATATTCAGATTTCGGATCATCCCACCTTATGTCTGTAAAAATAGGATTGGTGAGATGTTGAAGTAATGGGGCACAGAAACTAAGTAGTATCAAGGAAAATCTAAGGAAGGAAGTGAGGTACATAAGAGAAGGTTTGAAACTTAATAATTACTCTGATTGATTAATCAGGAGGTATGTAGGAAAATGTAAAAATAAAATTATTAATAATAATTGCGATAGTGACAATAATAATATTCATGACGACATACATATCAAACATGCATGCACACAGAATAATGACAACACCAACGATGGGGAATTGAAATCATCAGTAGTACTTCGATACAAAGAAGGTGCCTCAAAAATCTTACAGAAGAGAAATCCCAAAAAAATGTAGGCAGGAATAAAAGTCCATAATAAATTATTTAAATTAATCCCAGCGTGTTAAGAAAATCAAAACAAGATTTTTCTGAACGTGTTTCGCCGTGTAAGCCACAGCTTCTTCAGCAGATTTATTCGGATTTTTATTAGTCATCAAAATATTTAATAAATTAATAAAAAATCCGAATAAATCTGCTGAAGAAGCTGTGTTTTACACAGCGAAACGTTCAGAAAAATCTTGTTTTGATTTTCTTAACACGCTGGGATTAATTTAAATAATTTACAATGAATCAGTCTGACTTGGCGCTCAAATTATTCCAGGAAGTTCGTAACACCTACGGTCTGGAAACCTATAAGGAATAAAAGTGACTGGCATTCAAACTACTCACAAACTCAATTCGGAAGAAGCTTTGTCGTTTAAATGATCAATCATGTGCAGCCAATTAAACAAAACAATTTAGTTGATCTAATATCCTGCTGGAATGATTGTCAGGTCAAAGCAGTGGAACAGGGTCAGTTATTCAGTCGGTCTAGCGGAACACAAAAACCTAGCAGCAAAATCTAGATTAGTTGATCCGAATAAGATAAGAAATCTGGAGAATAGTAAGTTTAGCTACAGCACTCCTTACATGCAATTACACACAACCAAATATACAATAGGATGATGGGACAGGATGATAGTTTTAAAATCTAATGTAACTGGGTGAGGGCGAGAGAGATTGATAACTTAGGCTTTGTATATCGAATCAGATGAAGAGAGTAAGTGTATTAGGAATAGTTCAACACCTATTCACCCACCTGGAAATCTCTAAAGTTCTGCTACCGCTACAACGACGAATAGGGGAAAGAATGAAGAAAACTATAAAACTCGAGTTTCGAAGTTGTGTGATTATAATTGGCTATATGATTATGAACAATAAAAAAATTGTGTTTGGAGAAACTTTATCATCCAGTAATTAACCATTGACTCTCCTTGATATATCCATGTTATAAACAAATGAATATGGAATTAAATATTCAACCACGATATATCTGACGCCCAAAGATCAATATTCAACCTGCCATTTGTGTAGTTCTAGCAAATTTGATTGTTATTTTTATTCTTTTGAATTACGAGTGAATTTTCCCGCAAAATTAGCAGTACGTCGGAGGCGAATAGAATGTTGAACACTTGAGTGACTAGTGATCATTCTATCATTGAACTACCGATCTCAAAAGCAGTCCACTGGCCAGGAGATGAAGCCAGGTTACAACCTTAGAAAGACTTACAGTATAACAGCAAACTATTTCAAATATAATCACTTAATGAGTAACTTCAACAAAACATCCAAAAGCACGTTGAATTTTAGTGACAACATTTATCTGTATGAAACTTGCTTTTGACAGTCCGCTGCATCAGGAATTAGACTCTCAAGAGCTTGGTATACTCTATTTAACTGAAGCCTAGCAAATCACACCAGCTACTAGTTTCTGTGAATGTGGGTGTGAATTTATCTCTGCAGAATGAGTAAATAACTGACTGACACGAAGTGAAGGCAAAATTCACTTGTACTGGCAAAGAATTAGAAAAAATATCAGCAAAACCAAAATAAACAAAAGAAAATATTAGCGGTAAACAGAATATATCATTACAGATAATAAATAACCTGACATCACATGTGTGTTTATTTATTTATGTATTTGCGTAAATACAATAAAAGAAATTCACATGATTATCGATCCGTATGAAAAGTACATACATACACATGGTAAAATTTATTTTCCTGCAGAAAAAAAATATCAATTCGTTCGGTTGTTATTTTCTTATTTCATACTGTGCTTTGCTGGAAAATTGATTCTTCAAAGACATTTGCTTGTAAACACCTCATTAAAAGGTGAAATGCTGTTAACTTAATCATCCTGTGACGTGTGCCACTGATAACATTTATCAGATGGAATCCCAACAGAAGCTTTGAAAATAGACACAGAGGCAACAGCGGAGTTAATGACGCCACTGCTGGAGAAGGTGTGGAAAGAGGGCAAAGTACCCGAGGATTGGAAGAAAGGATACTTATTCAAACTACCAAAGAAAAGAGACTTAAGTCAATGCAAAAACTGGTGCGGAATTATGCTCCTGTCCATCCCAAGCAAAATACTAAGCCGCATCATCCTGGAGAAAATCAAACAAGCCCTGGATGCAAAACTCCGACCAGAACAAGCTGGATTCAGGAGAAACAAGTCATGTATTGATCAAATCGCCACACTACGGATCATCATTGAGCAAAGCTTGGAGTGGCAGTCACCTCTCTATCTCAACTTCATCGACTTTGAAAAGACATTCAGTGGACAACGTCGATCGAAAGGTCATTTGGAAACTAATTCGCTACTACGGGGTCCCATCGACAGTTATACATCGCATCCAACAGTTATACGACAATGCTGCATGCCAAGTAATCCACAACGGGAAACTTACGGAAGCCTTTGAAGTGAGGACGGGAATGAGGGAAGGCTGTCTACTATCGCCAATGATCTTCCTGATTGCAGTAGACTGGATAATGTGACAGACAGCCGGCAATGAGGAAACAGGCATAAAACGGACTCACACAAAAAAGAACTTGGAGGATCTGGACTTCGCCGATGACTTATATATGTCTGATTTCCCACAAACTGGGAGATGATATGCAAATAAAAAGCAACAAGTTGGCGATAGAAGAAGCATCAAAGATAGGAAGGACTTTAGGTGAACATAGAGAAAACAGAGGTAGGTGATGAAGATTCCTGGCCGACAGCAGCAGTAACAACAACAGACAACAATCAGCCAGTATGAATTGGAGGAACCTGAAAGAAACAACCTCCTTCACCTACCTACCTGCCCGGGAAGCATCGTTTCAACTACAGGCGGAACTGACGAGGACATCAAAGCCAGAATAGGAAAGGCAGGACAAGCTTTTATTACTCTCAAGTCTGTGTAGGTCAACAGCACTCAGGATCAAAAATAAGATCCGGATTTTCAACTCCAATGTGAAGTCAGTGCTACTTACTAAACGGATCAGACACTTGGCTAGCGCGTCATAAAGAGCATCTCAAACAAACTACAGACCTTCATTAACAGTTGTCTTCGCTCAATACTACTCAAGATCAGATGGCCGGTAGGAAAAGATTAGCAACAGGGATCTCTGGGAGCGAACCAACCAGGAGCCGATTGTGAAACAAATAAGCAGGAAGAAATAGAGATAGACTGGCCATACTGTGAGGTAACCATCAAGTGACATCACTAGACAAGCCATTGCTCGAGTGAAACCCAAAACGGAAGCAGTGAGTTGGTCACCAGTGCGAGGGTAACTTGGAGGAGGTCATGTGAAGAGGAGATGAAAGCGTGTGGGCAGACTTGGAGCGGAGTGAAAAAGTTGGCAGAAAACAGAAGGCAATGGAGACGCATAGCTGAAGCCCTATGTTCCTCTAGGAATTAAAGGATATAGTAATTATAATAATAATGTATATGTAAAGAGATGTTCATCGGCATAAAAACATCATGTGGCAGGAAAATAGATTTGATCTCAGAGAAAGCAAATGATACAGCGTTCCAGAGATAAATTATTTATTATTGTTTTCTTTAATTCCTAGAGGAACATAGGGCTTCAGCCATACGTCTCCATTGTGTTTGATTCTCTGCAAACGTTTTAACCTGGCTCGACGTCTGCCTACATGCTTTCAATTCCCCTTCACATAACCTCCTGCATGTCACCCTCGCACTGACGACCGGCTCGATGCTTCCCATTCAGGTTCCACTCGAGCAGTGACATGGCGTTCTATGTCACTTGATGGTTT